GCGCGCGCGCGCGCAGACTCAACATCAAGCAGTTTGGAAACAAACGGACATTCAGACTCCCAGGATGACCCAGGTGAGAGCCTACAGCTGCCCTCTACAGGCAGAGGCAGGAACTGCAGGACACATCTTCTCCTGAATCCTTCTGTTGGTATAAACTTAAAAACCAGTGTTTTTGTCTGCAGCACCGCTTGTGCAGCGACAGGGCAGCACGTTATCCAACGACACAAAGTTCATGCTCGACATGCTCTACTCAAAGACGGGACCCATGAGCCCCTCTGCAGCTGCAGACACCAATGAAGAAGAGAGGAGCTTCGTGCCTGGTGAGAGAGCCGCTTTTCTGCAGCTCGCTGCACATCCCAGACTTTATTTATTGTCATATATATTAATAAAGTTGCAAAAACGTTCTTCTGTTCTTTTGTGATTTCGTTCCCTTTCCCAGCAGGTGACGATGTGGCTGCTCGGGGTCGTGTGACTGAGCGTCTGTCCAGCTTCAAAGCGCGCTCGGCAGAGTCCTCCACCTCCAACGAGAGCAGCGCCTCCCGCAGGGCAGAGCTGGAGAGTCTGGAAGGCTCAACGCAGGCGGCACGAGCCCGACTGGCTGAAGAACAGGTCAGAACATGAAGGACGTTATTCTGTCTGCAGATGCTTTTCTTCTTCTTCTCTGCAGATCCGCAGGTTTTTAAAAGCAGTGTTTCTGTACTCGGTTTATCCTTCGTTCTTTAGTCACTTATCTGCATCTATCTTTAAAGTGAATCGGGTTTTAGTTGATGCACCGAGTTACTGTACAGGCATGAGCCAAAACATGATGGTCTGGATAATTCGAGTTTCTTGGGTCTATGAGAACATTCAGGTGAGGAGCTGAACCTCTCCAACAGGAATCTAGAGATTCTCTGAAATGTCGTGAGGAGCTCAGCAGAGTTCCTGTAACGAGTGCTGAGGTCATTTCTGCGACACGACGTTCATGGCGAGCAGAACAAATCAGCGTTTGCTGTTCATGAAATTTATTCTACAAGTCATAACATGCAATAATAACAGAGAGCATGCTGCTGCAGCTCCTCTGTTTTATTAAAGTGGTGCTGCTTTCTTGTTGTAGCCCCTCCCACACCCGCCTGCATCAATGGCTCCAGTTTGAGGCCCGCTGGCTTCACGTTGGTGCTAAAGAGCAGGTGGAGTTGCGGGGCCGCATCATGTTTTGGCTCATGTGTGCAGTTTGAAGGTTGAACGTAAAGCTGATAAATGTGTCTCCATCCACCATCAGAAGCGTTACATCCGGCACCAGAGCAGCATCGACACCGAGGCGCACGCCGCCAGTCTGGACACCACCCAGATGACCCCGCTAGGCCCCGGCAGCTCCAACGACGCCTGGGACCAGCTGCAGCCGAGCGCCGCCGCCCTACGCATCAAGGACCTGGACTTTTCTGACCTGCTGGACGAGGAGGACATCGACGTCCTGGACATAGACACCTTCGACAGCTCCGCTTCATCCTTCACCCTCTCTGGAATCCCTCCCCCTCCTCCTCCCCCTCCTGGCATGCCGGGGGCTCCTCCCCCTCCTCCTCCACCTCCTCTACCGGGAGGTCTTGCACCCCCTCCTCCTCCACCTCCTCCACCAGGAGGCCTCGCACCCCCTCCTCCTCCACCTCCACCAGGTGTCCCCCCTCCTCCTCTTCTTGAGGCCTCTCAGAAGAAGAAGAAGACGGTGAAGCTGTTCTGGAAGGAGCTGAAGCAGGCAGACGGACCGAAGAAGTGTCGCTTCGGTCGGGGGACGGTGTGGGCGTCTCTGGATAAGGTAGCGGTGGACACCGCCCGCCTCGAGCATCTGTTTGAGTCCAAAGGCAAGGAGCTCCCTGTAACCAAGGTGGGTGGATGATAGATTCTCTTAAAAAAAACTTAAAACCCTGCCTGAGACCCACAGAGAGCAAAATGAGATGCACTCGAGAGGCTGTAAAAAGGCGGGCTGCAGAAAGAGTATCCAATGTCAAACACATACGAGCTCATTTAAAGCGGTCTGCCACAGTTTGACCACCAGGGGGCTCCAGCGGGCTGTAAAATCCCTTCACTGTTACACTTAATGTTTCAACTCAAACCACAAATTAAACAAGCAGTGAATGCTAAACAGAAAATGAACATGATCAGTGTGTTTAGTTTAACCAACTATCAGTTTACCATTAAAAGTGATGATTGTTAAGAAGTGTTACTGTGTAACTTTATGACATCACAGGAAGCGCTGACACTGCTAGTCGCGCGCGAGCGAGCGGCTCTCTGCCAAAGCTGGAGGAGGAATTATTGAGCAGGAAAACTGTCGCACTCGTCGCGTTTCTAACATGTCGCTTGTGTGCAGAAAGGACCGGAGACCAAGAAGACTGAGATTCTGGTTCTGGACTCAAAGAGGAGTAACGCCATCAACATCGGTATGACCGTCCTGCCAGCGATCCACGTCATCAAGTCGGCCATTCTCAGCTTCGACGAGTTCGCCATTAGCAAAGAGGGCATCGAGGTAGGGGTGACTTCCTGTGTGCGGACGGATCAGTCTGATCGGTCTGCTGTTTCATCTTCAACTTTAACGCTATGGGCCCTCTCTCTGTCCTGAGCAGAAGATCCTGACCATGACCCCCACAGAGGAGGAGAAGCAGAAGATCCAGGAGGCTCAGCTCGCCAATCCCGACCTCCCTCTGGGCACAGCAGAGCAGTTCCTGCTCACCCTGGCCTCCATCAACGGCCTGACCCCCCGCCTTCAGCTCTGGGCCTTCAAACTGAACTACGAGGCTCTGGAGAAGGTAAGCGAGCTGATTGCAGATCATTAGAAGATTTACACCTGAAAGTCACCTGAGTTCAGCTCAGCAAGATTACAGAAAAACTGGATCTGATTATAGTTAGGCTGTTATACTGCAATGCTGAGACTGTGACTGTGTCGCCCCCTGCAGGAGATAGCCGAACCGCTGTTTGACCTGAAGCTCGGCATGGAGCAGCTCGCCTCCAATCAGACCTTCAGGAGAATCCTGGCGACGCTGCTCGCCATCGGAAACTTCCTCAACAGCTCCAACGTGAGGAGGGACCCAACCCCACGCACGCACGCACATTCTAGTTTGATATCATAGTGAGGACATAATGCTTTCCCTAGCCGCTCAGCCTAACCCTCAGCCTCACCCTAACACAACCCTAACTGTACCCACAAAGCTGTCTAAATAGACACACCCACACACAGAGCATGACAAGAGGTGTAGAAACTCTGAACTCTCGCAGCAGGAAATGTGAATCCCTCCATGGTTAGAAAAACTCACGTGCAGTTTGTACACGTCATTAAAGTAAACATACTTGCATATGAGAGATTTTACTGCTGCAGCAGGCAGTGATAACATATTCCAGACGTATCCAAATAAACTGAACAGCTGCTGCACAGAGTAGTGTGATTGTCAGGTTAAAAACACTTTTCCCTGGTGGTTCAGCGACATGTGACAGCACTCTGACTGCAGCCAGTCAGCAGCAGGGAGGTCAGCGGTGCTTCAATCTGAGCTGACAGCAGCTGCTACACAACACGAGAGCCACAGCCTCACGTTTCCTTCACTGCACCCTGCTGTTCACAGACAGGCTATATGCACGGTTACTCACAGGAAGATGGAAGCAGCTGTTTATTCCCCGACTTCTTTATAAAAACTGAATACGTCAGTGTTTAGGAAGAGTTTTATGATCTGTGACAGTAAATGAACCAGGGCTTAAAATATTGAATGGCTGATTAAAAAGGATGTAGCAGCAGGTCTGCTAACAGCTGCTGTCCTCCTCACTTTATCACATCAAAGAGAACTGAACATAAACCACAGCAGGGCTGTTCCAGAGGCTGTGCATCGTGTTTGCTGCCCTAACAGAAGGGGATTGAAGGCGCTGTTAGGATGTCGTCGCCATCTTTTTCATCATCACTGCACAGTTTAAACTGTAAAGGTTACAGACTAGCAAACCAAGCTAGAATAAATACACAGCAGCAGCATTTTACATTTCTAAAGGGAAAGCTCAGATTTTGCGGTACTGTGTCAAGAGGGAGGTTTGTGCTCTCAAACGGACTTTCGGCTGAAGCTTTCATTTGTTTGTGTTTATATATTTGCATGTTATTAAAAGTGAGATAAAATCAGGTTGAAAGAGCTTGATTTAAGCTTTATTTCCACGTGCTGGCACTCTGAATCAGGCCTTTAAAAAGCCTGCACATCTGTATTTATTCAAATCCTCTGATGGACTAATTTATCGTTGATAAATCAGTGGAGTCAGAAAAACTGATCCCAGGAAGTGATCCCAGCTCTTTGACCTCGCTGAAGTCACAAAGAACAGTTAGAGCGCTGCAGGGCTGTTTTGCTGGACACTACACCACGTCCAATATAATATCCCACAATGCAATGCAGTAGTGACCTGTGTCACAACAGACACTGCTGGATGGTGATGATCTATTAGTTCAAGTATCTTTACTCTACTGGGTGTAGTGTACTTTTCACATGTGCTAATCATTACTTGGATCATGTCATGGGTGGGGTTTGGTTACCATGGTTACGTGTCTTCAAGCGGTAGTTCGTCTGGGATATTAGATCTGGCCAATGAGACGCCTCTGTGATGGGTAAGAATCTCAAACACGTGCACGGTGCTTTGTTTACATCCAAACGTTATCTCTGACAGCGAGGGCCAGTTTGTTATTCCTCTAAACAAAGAGTCAAGATTAGAGATTTCAGGCAGAGATCAAACATCGTCCTCTGAATCTGTGTGTGCGTGTGTGCGCAGGCTAAAGGCTTTGAGCTGAGTTACCTGGAGAAAGTGGTGGAGGTGAAGGACACGGTTCACCGTCAGTCTCTGCTTCATCACACCTGTAACCTGGTGGTGGAAAATTACCCAGAATCCTCTGACGTCTACTCTGAGATCCCCGCCATCACCCGCTCGGCCAAAGTACAGTTCAGTCCTTCTCACCTTCACGCCGCCCTGATGTAAAATCGCCTGGTGCTGACTAGTTTACTTTTTTCTCCAGGTGGACTTTGAGCTGCTGTCGGAGAACCTGGTCCAGCTTGAGAGACGCTGCAAAGCATCATGGGACAACCTGAAGGTGGTGGCCAAACATGAAACCAAAGCGGCGCTGAAGAACAAACTAACGGACTTCCTGAAGGACTGCACGCAGAGGATCATCATCCTGAAGGTCGTCCACAGGAGAGTCATCAACAGGTGACACATCAGCATGCGCGCGCGCGCGCGCGCGCACACACACACACACACACACACACTGTCCTCAGCACGATGATGCACTGACCTCCTCCTCCTCCAGGTTCCACTCCTTCCTGCTGTTCCTGGGTCAGCCGTCGTCTTCGGTCAGAGACGTCAAGGTGACAAATTTCTGTCGGATCATCAGCGAGTTCGCTCTGGAATATCGCACCACCAGAGAGCGAGTGCTCACCATCAAACGGAAACGCGCAGTTCACAGAGAGCGCACCAAGACGCGAGGAAAGATGATCACCGAGGTAAGACTCTCCCCTGCATGTCAGAGGTCAGCGGCAACAGAATCACAATCTGAGTTACTTGATTTAAGCCAGTGCCAATCAGTTAACACCGTTATCTACATAGAATATCAAATATTTGTACTAATTAGAGAACGGCACCAAAGCCCACAGACTTCTAGCTTCCCAGGTTTGGAGTTTTTAAATAGCAGATTCACATAATGGTTGAATCTCACTGAACTTCTCGGATGATCTTTCAGTACAATTTAAACCACTGTAAACACACCTCTCAATCAGAGCCGCCACGCCTCCATCTTCAGGCTTTAATTAAATTCAAATGGACGAGGTATAAATCAGTTTACTGTGTGTGATTATTGCAAAGGAGGAAATCAGCTTCACAGACCAAAACATTTTTCTGCAGCAGGCTGTAAATGCGTTTAACTCTGCTGTAAAGTTGGACATTTTAACATGGAAGTCTATGGGGAGTGACTCACTTTTGGAGTATGCCTCCAGTGGCCACTCGAGGAACTGCAGAGGAATAAAAGAAAACATTTACAATCTAGAGATTAAATCACTGTTTACAGATATTATATTCTAAAGTGGGCTTATCCTCTTTCTCCCGTCCTCAGACGGAGAAGTTTTCAGGGGCGGTGTCACGTCCGGACAGCCCGTCCCCCGTTTCTATGGCAGCGGAGGCAGACCAAGATCAGGAGGAGGAGCATAAGAACATGAAGAACCTGCTGATCAGTCGCAGCAGCACCCTGAACTGTGATCAGAGAGGCCTGAGGCGCTCCCGAGCCGTCCGCAGTAAGACCAGCAGCTTTCTTCACCTCCACACGACTCCCACAATAACTGACTGTCAGCGCCACGTTCACCTCCAGCATCAGTTTAAGTTTAAGGCCGTCAGGCTCGTGCTGCTTTTGCTAGAAATGAGCGTTCAACCAGTAAAATCAGACATTGAGATCCGGTCTGCAGCACGACATTCCCCACATTTTGATGTCATCGGAGTGAGAACGCAGAAAAATGTGACGGCATCGTGATTTGAACTCAGACACGCTAAATCAGCTTTTTCTTTTTTATTGGAAAGCATGAAAAATTGAATATTTTCACCTCTGCTGGAGCTGCAGAGAAAAAAGTGAAATCATTTTCTTTTGCTTAAATCTGAGTAGAGCCATCAGCGGCCGGCGCCGCTCCACCGGACGCTGTAGAAACGTCCTTCAGGGCTCATTCAGAGTTACTCTGGTTGGTTAAAATGAAAAAAAGTTTTCTTTTCTGAACATTTCCATCAACATAATGACTCCATTTATAAACTAACGTAATGAGCGATTGTTTCGGCACGCTCTGAATTACTTTCGTTTTTACTGTTAAATATTCAGACGTCTAGTGAGTCTGGCAGATGCTGCGTCACACTGAAATTAAGCTGAAAGTTAGAAAATTGGGATAAATACTACTAAACTCTGAACCAGTTCGAGCAGCTGGGGATGGGAACACCCAGGCACCCTCGCCCTGCTCCTTATCGCGTTCCTGCTCGTGGCTAATGTTCCGGTTCTGGTCCTCAGGTCTCGGCCGGGTGGATCCGCCCAAGATGTCTTTAGCCAAAGAAGACGAGACGAGCTCCCAGGACGACGCCACAGATGAGATCATGGACCGACTCGTCAAGTCTGTTACCCAGAATCCCTCCGGCAGATCGTCCAGCCCCAAGAACCGCAAGCGGTCCCGACTGAATAGGAAGTCACGTGAGTATGAATTTACTTCTTAATATTGATTCGCTGTGACGTCATCAGATGGTGAGTGCAAGGACGTGCCTAATTTTTTGTGACCTTGCAGACTTGTGGGCGGAGCGTTTAGGCTGTGTTGGCTTTGCTGAGCCTTCGGGTCTCCAGCGGTCCCTAACAGAGTGTAATCGAGGCTTTATGTGACTTCAACTCCCAGGGTGCATTTCTGCAAAAGCAGTCTATTAGCTTAAAATCAGCATTTTCATTTAAATGAGTCTCATGTAGTTCATCATCTGTCTGAAATGAGCGCCTGTCTCTTTAAGCTCCGCCCTCCATACGTGCTTTCTTCTAACTGGCTAACTTTCAGAAGCCTGCTGAGGGGCACCCGGAAGAAAAACCACATTTCTTTTTTCTTTTTTTTTTAATCTTTCACGTTTATGTATTTGTTTATTTAATTTTAGTGAATTTTATGATTTTGGTCAAACACAGCTGAAGACGTTTTCACTCATGTTTAAATTTTTGCTTTTGAGAATTCTTCAAAGCTTCTTTTTGTTTTACTTTAGTCACTTTTTTCCACTCACAGTTTAAACTGACGAACGCAACGCTGCTTTCCAAAGAACGACCTGAAAAGCGAAACCTGAGCGAGGGGAAGCGGCTGCCCCTCGCGTTCCCCTGCTGTGTTATTTAAGGTTTAGGGACCCGTCCTGCTGAAGGTCGAGTCCTGAGCTTCAGTCTGGTTCAGACTGCGTGGAGACACAACAGCAGCTGTGTGTCCAAAACAAGCTGATATCTGTGCAGCTTCATATCACTGTTTGCACTTCCTCAGTAAATCTGTCCACAGCAGCAGATAATCATCATCATCCTACTGCTGAGCGCAGGACACGATGAACTGCTGCTCGCAGGCTGCAGACTCATTTCTAAGTAACTTGGCGGCAGTGCGATAAACTGCAATCTTTGATTGGAACATTTTTGGAGTGTTTGACCTTCACGAGGTGTTTTAAAGCAAAAGACGCACAAATCTGCAGCTTCTGGCTTCTCAGATTAGAGGAGATGATGATGATGATGATGATTATTTACATTTGCATGACTAAGACTGACACTGTGCAAGAAACTAGTGCAGATTACATGAGTAATTAGTACATTTACGCTATAAATCTGAGAAAAAGGCTGAAAGATGGTATAATAGAGAAATATGTGTGGAATAGCACAGAAAGACGTGTTATGAAGACCTGTAGGAACGAGTTCCTCAAGCGTTCTCTTCTAGGAGCAGATAAATGGCTGTTTTTTTTTTTTCTTCCAAGTAAAATAGTTGTTATCAGGCAGAAGCTGGGAGTCGCTGGTCCACCCGAGCCTCCTCTTTGGTCTGTTCTAAGACGTAGGCAGGAGATATTTTAAACTTTTTATTTTTGGGCTGAAGATTTTCTGAAGAGTTTTGTGAAAAGAATCAAAATCAATGAAGAAGAAAGTTGAGCCCCAGCTTCCTGTAATGCTGACGTTGTTTCTGTGCGTTTCAGTGAGGAGGACTCTGAAGAGCGGCCTCAGTGTGGACGTGGTTCAGGCTCTGGGACTCAACAACAAGACGGCAGGAGACAGAGTCTGAGCTGCGACTGCAGCTGATCGATAAATCGGCGAACTATTGATTACAGAGACTGAACCCAGACCAGCTGAGCGGCTCCAGCAGACGTCGGGAGACGTGCGCTCTGCATTTGGAGACTCCTCCACCGGCACATCTGCCGCAGCTGTTCGGACACTTTGCTGTAGAAATAGTTGTGAGAAGAATTTTTCCCGCGTGACAGATTTTTACTGGTTTCCTGCAGCTTTGAAACATTTAGATGCTCACAAGGAAATCTGGACGCAGAGCTGCGGTCTTACTGAGAAATGAGTTTAAGGTGTCGTTTTCAGGTGTCCGTCCAGAACTGAAAGTGTGAGAGTCGGATAAATGAAATGCGAGCAGAAGCAGAGCAAAGCCTTCGACCTCTCGAACTGCTCCCACGTTTGTTTTAACTTGAATCGCCGCTGGCTCTGAAGTGTCACTGTCTGTGTGTCTCTGCCTGTCTGACTCTCGGCTCGAGCTCATCGAGATCTCAAAACAGTTTCTGGGTTTGGAACACGTGGCACGCTCGGGCACGCCACCCCGGCTGTTTTAGAAGGCCGGCGGTTTGTTGTTTTGAAAGTTGTTTCTGGGTTTTTTGGTGATTAGTTTAAATTGAAACTTTTGGTATTTTGTTACATTTTCACTGACTTTAAGATAACTTTGGGAAGTTCCCCAGTTTATAGTCTGTGTGTTTGCTTTAAGTCGAGCATGACATCTCCGACACGCGTCGCTTGTACCTGCTCATTTTTGTTGTTCGGTCTTCTGCGTTACCGCCACCTGCTGGACTGGAGTGTTACCATAATCTTTAGAGCGTGTGTAAACGGACGATCAGCGATGTGAAGGAACAGTTTCGCTCCTTAAATTATAAACTGGGAATAAAATTTCACAGCTGTTCTTAATATGAACTTTTCCTAAATTTAAGTGTAAAAAGTATATAATAAGGGAGCCACAACACGTGTAGTTTCTGAGCACGTCTGCAAAGGTGGATGCAGATTTAATGCCAGTGAGATGACGCGCTTGAGTCTGAACATGACATCATGAGTGAAACTGGCATGGGAGCAGTCAGAGTTAGTTTTACTGGCCACGTCCAAACGCCCGTCCTCAAAAATGAAATCGAGGGAAAGAAGTCATCCGGCACATAAAACATTTTTAATTGGTGGGCTTTACCGCTGCTGTCAGGTGATCCAGGCTCCAGTTCTCTGCATGTCCAGTTTTTATGCAAAGCTAAGCTTTATTTTTACTGTTCTATCGTATTTCACAGGATGGACTCTTCTGTTAAAGGTTCGTCACTGGATGGCCTCAAATTCTTTATTTCACAGCCAAAAACTGTAAGCGAAGGATCAGGAAGAGTCTGAGAGTTCAGCAGAAACAGCTGCGAGGGTAAACTTTAAAATTCAATAGAAACGACAGGCTGGTGAATATATTTAACTTATTGAAGTGTGTGAAATATCCTCACGTTTAGCTCATTAACTGGTCTGTTTTAACTTTAAACCCGGCGACTGTGAGACTTTAGAAAATATCATAATAAAATTACAATTTTAAACCTGTTTTCCTAAGTAAATGAAAGTGCGTTTGATGGATTTGGAGGCAAATGTACTTCATAGAAAGCTCAGCTGACATGATTATCAAACAGCAGGGTCCATTTAGTGGCTGTTCTGAGGATTATCAGAGGAATACGTTGCAAATAAAAGGTCAGATTCTTGTTAGATTTGTCATCCTGAAGCTGAATTGCACTCAGACCTGCACAGAGTTGAAGAGTTTGCAGAGTTTGCTGTTGCAGCGTCACAAACGGCACAAAGGTGGTCTGTTTAAAAACTTGACAGTTGTATAGTTTAATTTAAATTCAAGGTGAACGTGGGCTCATCAGGTCAAAACACATGGCACGGAGGCATGGTCTTCAAACCGATTAATGCTCAGTTTGGAAAATTTTAATCACACATGTTAAAAAAAAAAGTTGGATTAAAACCTAAAATCACTTACGTGGTACAAACGTGTGTGTGTGTGTGTGTGTGTGTGTGTGTGTGTGTGTGTGTGTGTGTGTGTGTGTGTGTGTGTGTGTGTGATTACAGGACTAAGAGTGTGCGTCGGTCTTGGTGTTTTTGGCACTCTGAGGTGTTTTTATGGTTTCTTTCTGCGGCTGACTTCAGGTCAGTTTGTGTGAAAAGCTTCTTCACATTTTTTTTTTTTTTTTTCATTCACAAACAGATGACGACTTTGTTTTAACTTAAAGAGCAAGACGAACATTTTATAAAAATATTAAATGGATGGTTGAATGTGTCGCTTGTATAATTAATAAAGATTTTTAAGAAGAGAGATGTGTTTGCAGTCTGTTCACTCACTCCACACAACAATATTGTCACGTTCCTCGTGCCTCATGTTATATTCTTCCACTGGACGTCCACCCACTACACCTGCAGTGGCTCCACACCCTTCATTTCCATAAGATTAAAGCAACGCCTCCCTTTTCCACTCTGCATGCTAAACAGCTGCTCTCCAACACTTACAGCAGCCTCTGTGGGTTTTCAGCACGCTGGAATGACGCATTCAACAATGCAGCAATATGAAGCTGCAAACCAAAGACTGTAGAAAGAAGATGGACAGCCAAAGCTTGTGTGTTAAAGAAACTGAGGTTACAAAAAGAAGCCTGAGGGGAAACAGATTCTTTAATCCGGTGATTTAAAACCTCATTAAACACTTTCCCGATGTGTTTATGGTCTAACCCGAGTTTCATGGTTGTAATGAATAAAATGTTTTCTCTTGTATCAGCCGCGATTGATTGGTTTCTGTTCCTGGTATGAAAACGTCTGAAAGTTCAAAGTATTTTTTAATCTCCACCCCTCTTCAATCTCTACTTCAGTGATGTGAAACATGAAGCCCGGGGGGCAGAATCGGCCCAGCAAAGACTGAAGAAGGACATAAACTTTGGGTTTTGAACTATATTTTGCAGGTTTTACAGTCCGTTTGTTTGGGGGTTTTACTACAATACTACAAAATATTTCATCGACAATCATTAACAAGTTTCGGTGAGCTCCCAGAAACTTATCTGTAATTTTACTTTTAAGCCCAAAGACTCGTGCTGACAGATTTCTTTATCTTTCTTTTCTTTCTTTTTTTTTTCTTTTTTTTTCTTCCTTATATTAAGATATCGCGGGAATTAAATGTGCAGTTAAACTTCTTTGCATTCCCAGACAGAGAAGCTTCACTGGTCTGGGCCATTTAAAGCCCAAACCAGGCCCGTGATGTAAAACGAGTTTGACATCCCTGCTCTGTGTGGAGGTTTTGTGTATTTCCATTGTATTGTGTGAAATGGAAAAATGATAAAATTCTACTTATTTTCTCAGACTGCTTTTTGTTTTCTTTTAAATGGGGCGAGAGTCTTTCCCTTCCAGCTCGGGTCCAGGCTTTTAGCCACGGTGAACACTCTCGTTCTCTGCTTTAATTAGTGCCTCAGGTTGTGGCGGCCTCATCATGAAAAAGCTCCTGCTATGCAGGGTGCGGTGTATGAACTGAAAATCTGACGTCACGCCGAGCAGTATTGATGTGTGACGTCAGAGCCGATCGGTACCGAGCATCAGCTGTGAGTCAGTCAGGAGGAGAGCTTCACCTGCAGTGTCTCCGTCTCTTTAAAGGGGGACTGGGCGGGTCACATGCCGGCTCCGGTGTCCCCTCCTCCGTGTCTTACCGGAGTCTGAGTGTGTGTGAGCGTGGGTCCATGCGCGCGCGCGCGTGTGTGTTGTTGATGTTGTAAACCGGCTCCCGGCCTCGCTCCGCGTCCTCTCCGTGTCCCGGTGTGTATATAAAGACTCGGAGGATGTCCGCCCGCTGAGCTCCAGGGACGAGATGCTGCCGCTCGGACTGATGCTGCTCCTGCTGCCGGCC